AATGAGAGCTAGGAAAACACTTTTTTTTACCATTGAAAAGCTCCTTTCATGCTCTACAAAGTTAGTTCCGGGCCTATTTTAATTGGAGATCATCGTTCGCAGGGAATTAAACGATAAGTGAAAGCGTTGGAAATTCAGGGGCCTTTTACGTCACAGTGTTACGTGACTATAAATCATTTCTGTAAACTATAGAGTTCAAGCAAAAAAATATCAAATTTATAGTACATATAGAACTCGTCGAGCTGCATCGAATGGAGTTTGAATAAACTTTCCAGCTATCCTAGTTTTTGAGATATTTTTAAAACAATTTGCCAAAACGTCACAGCGTTACGCTTGGACAAGCCGTTTAATTTAATTCTCATTTCCATTGTGATTGGGGTATTAATATCAACCTGTTGATTTATTAAGTGTGGCTATGCTCAAGTGTAAATATAGATTCATACACAGTAGTTAACATTATTTTTCTTCGTTCTATAGAAAATAAACTTATTTAATTAGTCTACTTACATGTGCTCATTAATTTATATTTTATGTATTTTTTCTGAAAAAAAAATGAATAATTCTTATGCATTTATTCATAAATTATATTTATTTAACATATTTCTATAGAAGATCGACAGACTATATCATTGTAAGAACATGACTGTCTGAAAAAAACAATACCATGTAATAGTGAATACCTTGTTTTTCAGACCCAATTTGAGTCAAATAGACTCGAAACGAATTCATCTTTTTCGCGCTTTTAGCCGAATCGAATCGAATTACAATTTAAAAAAGAACAGAAACCCATAATCGAATCCGAATTCAGGTCCTAAAAAGCCGAATCGAACCGAATAGCACTTTTGCCATTCGTTTCGGTCTCATGTTCCAGACAACCTGAAATTATCTAAAATCAAAACAACAAATCATTAACCACTTATCTTTAGTAGAAAATGTTTCCAAGGGACACCATCCCATCATATGACACATCAAGATCCCTTGTCTAGTACGAGTATTTTCCATCCTCGTCATACACCAACAGTATCGTTACTTAAGAAAATACTATTAAGCAATGCAATGAGCTTCTACCGTTACTCTACGCTCTACACGATATCATAATATCTTACTTGATCTATCCATTTCGAGAAACAACACCTAGGTATGCACTTATTCAAACCTACCAAAATGAAAATATAGTCTCCATTAATTACACGTGGACTAAGAACCGTGATCCCTCGCGGTGACCTCACACCGGTAGCGTTACTACTATAATCAATCGATCAGACTCGCCATCCTATCAGAATATACTACCATCACTAAAACACGTTGGTTTTTCAAAACAAATAACCAATAACAACTGCTTCTAATTTTAGCTACAAAACCAGCGCAGCAATCTACTGCAATAGATCGCTCCTCAATCCGATCCACCGTGTCCCCTTTTTCCACCACACTGTCGACAAAATCACGTAGAACATACGCTTTATTCTACTGAATTTCCGTGTGTTAGCGTTAGTGATCAAACTAACTAACGCTAAACAAAGATTAAGATGTTCCTCTAGTCTAACTGGTTTGGACATCCCCCACGACAGCAAAAGGTGTGCATTCCAGTCCCACTTAGTTCAGTTCACTTATTCTTCGCTCTGACCCAGAGCATCACCGACACTTCTTGACTCTGTCCCTCTTCATATATCTCTCCTTCATTTCTTCTATACCCTCTTCTTCTATACATACTAGACCTAACACCGTGACTCAATCATGCTGTCTTTCTAGCTCAATCAGGATCATCCACTAAAACATCACTTACAACAAGACAACCTTTCACCACCACTATGGTCTGCCCGCTCACAGAAGGTATGCACATTTCAAATCATGACTACAAATTCATGATTCATCCATACTAGGTATGACAAGCCCTCAATACCTCGACGCGCCCCAGCTAACTGATGCCCAAGCTGGAACAATAACATCGAATATTAAGCCAGGATCACCCGGTGTTACTTTTACTACGCCGAATGCCGAAGTAGTAATACCACTGGTGCCAGGCATAACACCTATCCTGAGTAAAGTTTCGGTACCGAACCCGTTGACGAATGTCCTTGAAATCACGGTTACATTCACACCAGCGACTTCAGACACACCAGTTCAGCTAACATCACCGAAAGGAACGAACATAGTTGACAACTTTCCGATTACACCATTGAAAGAAGGCAGCACAATAACTATCGCCTTCCTAACAACTGCTAACCAACCACCAGAGAAAGTAACCCTATCCGTGATCGCATGCTTTGCACCAAGCACCGCCACAACAATTATCAGTAGTACTACTGAACTGACAACAGGTACAGTATATAAAGCACTACATATACGCCGCTCATAGAAAACGCTTTTGATTAACACAGTTCCCGGTTTCGATTCTATAAGTGCACAAGGCCCTCTGCTTCGATTAAGATGAAAGTCTGTGAGAGGTACACGTCCGAATTACATTTAGTCTTAACAACTTTCACTATACCATGGTGAACGTGACGTTCATGATATTGACCATATCACTGCAGAAATAGCCGGTTAATGCGATCAAATGCAAATGTAGAATGTATTTTTTGACTTACTAGGTTCTGCAACTTCTAGAAAGAGTACTCCATTCAGCACTGCATCTTCCGAGTCGGCAGAGTCAGGTGCTTCGACCACACCATCGACGAAATCAAGTAAAAATTAGTTTTCATCCTAGTGAAACTTTTACAAATAATCCTTGCTTTTTGTTCTAGCACCATCGTCATCGGCAAGTGGCACGGGATTTACAACACGCCAACCTTTCACAACCACTACGG